TTGTTTTCTTATCCACTATGTTTATGGTTGGCTTGCTTATTATCTCAAGACACACTATCCTCTTACTAGTGGACCTTCTCTACCACGAATGGTGGTATATTCTGGGGAAGGTACTACAAGGTTTTTTGACAAAGATGAGGCAAGAAAGCGTGTTCAACGGGGGGAAGTATTGTATGGAATGCAACCATGCTTAGTATGCCTCACCCAACCTATCATATTGATGATGGCAAAGCACCAGAGTTAGAGCTAGCTTATTTTATGAGCCTTCGTTTTAATTATCTTCCATTGAGGAGGGGATGTTCCTTTGTCATTGAGCCATATAGTCCACACCGATTTAGTCGTCAATTTGGTCTCCATCAAGATATTCCTGGCTATTTAGAAAATGATATTTGTGCCGAGTCGTTCGATGAAGGCCTTAGATATTGGCGCATTTGCATATCATGTGCAACTATGTCTAAAGCGACATTTCCTCATGCGGTAGCTTCTGCAAAGAAGCTTTATACTACCCAATATTCATCTTGGTGGGAGAGATCCTATGGAATGTTTCTTGAGGATAATTTGGAAGTTATGGTGGAGAAAGCTGGGTCAAAATTTGTTACCCTTTTAGAAGACAAAAGTCAAGCTATTGAAAAGACACCTTCAAAAGTCAAGACACCACTTGCTCCCCAACATCAAATTAAAAAGCTTAACTCCTTTAAGGCATCTAAGAAACAAGTAGTTCATACTTCTACTGAAAAAGAAAAATGTCCCCAATTTCTCTTCTCTAGTAAACGGGCCTTTCAAGAAACAAACAAAACTAGCAAGGATCGATGTTGGAAGAGGCAAAGGGTTGAACCATCTGGGGATGAAGTGGTTGATTTAAGAGTTGTAGAAGTCCAAAGTGTTGATAGTCCTTCAAGATCATTGACAATTCAGAGTGACAAGATTTTCTTTCCTTTTTTTTTTTTGAATAAAATGACTTTGCTAACCTGCCCTTTTCACTTGTAGGTTAAAGCTGCTGGACATCCACTAGGATTGCCACGTGAAAGGCTACAAGTTAGCGATGAGTCTTCTGCAATATCAAGACCTAAGGCAAAATCAATTTCAAATACCAAGCAAGAACAAAAGACGTCATCTACTTCTCGTGGCCAAACTTTAAAAGGGTTGACTTCTAATTCCAATGAGCTTTCTCGAGTTTTCCCAAAGAGTAATGGAGCTATGTCTGTCTACGAAGGGAAAGGTGTTGTGTTCAACCACAAAAGGAAGTACATCTTGGGTATTTGGGAAGAGATTTGTGGAAAACTTTCCAAAACTTCTCTAGACAATATTTCATCTTACAAAGATGATATTTGTGATATTTTCACGGAGATGAGTGAGATGAATTTATTAGATCTTTCACTATTGAAGAGCTTGGTAGATTCTCTTTTTGATCATGCTACTTCTTATGATCAAGAACACTCTAATTTTGTTGACAAGGCGCATGAATATAAGAAGATGGAGTTGCTTTCCAATGCCAAAGAGCGTCTTGAATTGTTCAAAGTAGAAGAGGGTTAGAAGGCAAAAAGTGTTTCTTCTAACAAGAAATCGCTAAAGAAGGTTAAGCGGAAGCTAGCAACTTTACAAGGAGAGCAAGAGAGACTTGAAGCTATTTTAGAAGTTGCTAAGAAGAATGTTGAGGAGATCCAAGACAAGATTTTAGCTATAGAATATGAGATATCCTCATATGAAAATATGAGTTTATTAATGCCTGAAGATTCAATTCATTTGGAACAGAAAAGAGAGTGCTTGGAGGCTAGTCGTCAAGATTTGACCAACTACAAGTTACGCTTAGATTAGACTTTTTCTTTGTCTTTCCCTTTTTTTATTTTTATTTTCTTTAGCATTTGATTGATGTTTTAGACAATTTTATAGTAATGAAGTTCTTTCCTTTTTTCCCTTCATATCATGCATTTTTATTGCATTATCCAATTTGAATTTGCTCTTTAATTCTTGATTGCAAGCTTTGAGTAATTCAAAGTCATTCCATATTTTGCATGCCAATAAGAATGAATATAGTGCAAGTTTTACATTTTAAGTTTGCACATTCAAACTTGACTTATGAATTTTGTGGAATTTAATGCTTCAACTCGTAGCAAGTTTAAGGACCTTAACTTGTAAATTCATAGAATTCGAAGACATTGACTTGCCATTTTATAGAACTCGAAGACTTTGTCTTGCAACTTGGTTGATTTAAGAGTCTAACATGCAAAGTTATAAGACTTATCTTATTATTTTGTAGGATTTTAAGACTTCAACTCGCATACTTGTCTGAATTTAAAGACTTCAAGCATACTGTCAAAGAAGCTCATATTTTGATAAGGGTTTGCCCCCCCTTCCATTGACCCATCAATACTTTGTACAAGTCTAAAGTTTGATAAAATAAAAATAAAATACTTATGGACTTAACTTCATGTGACAGATCAAGTGGGAACATGTGGTTTTCTTACACTTATGCAACTGAACTTAGGATATATTCTAAGCGCCTACGTACCTCAGTGAAGAGGATCAAGTCACAACGTAGTTCTGGGGGAGTAAGTGATTTTTTTTTTGTTTCGGACACTATTTATACTCTTGCGGTCCCGGAGTGACATACAATTTAGGCTCGTACCTTAAGGAGCATCATCTTACTTCAAGGGTAGTACCTCTTTAGGAATTTTGCATTAATAGGACCAATCCTTACGCCATCTGCATCAACAAGCTTGTAAGCATCATGTGAATACGCTTCTTGTACGACATATGGTCCATCCCACTTTGAGGTAAATTTGCCGCCAGACTTGTGCGAATTAATGATGGATCTTCTTACCGTGAGAACTTGGTCTCCAACTTGGAAGCACCGCAAGCTAACTTTCTTATTGAAAGCACGAGATAGACGAGCTTGATAACATTCAATATTTTGTTGGGCTTCTAGCCTCTTTTCATCAAGTGCTTCTAACTCAGCAAGACGCACTCGAGCATTTTCTTCTTCAGTGAGTCCTTTTTGAATAACATGTTTTACGAAAGGTATTCGAGGCTCGAGTGGCAGGACTACTTCAACTCTAAAAGAAAGTGAATATGGTGTTTCTTAAGTTGGTGTGCGGTATGTTGTCCTAAATGCCCATAAAGCTTCTTCCGTTCTTTCATGCCAATCCCGTTTGGACTTGGAGTCAACTTTCTTTAGCAGGTTGCAACATGATACATAGAAGATTTACGCTGCTTGAAGCCAAAGAGATCACAAATCTTGTTCATTAACTTGTTATCAAATGGCTTGCCATTGTCTGTTATTATGTAGCGAGGGATGCCAAAGCGATAGATGATATTCACTCGGATAAAATTTTGCAACATTCTCTTTCTTCACTTCTTTAAGAACGACAGCTTCAACCCATTTTGAGAAGTAATCTGTTGCAGCCAAGATGTACAAGTGTCCACCAGAATATTTTGGTAGTGATCCCACATCATCCAATCCCCAAGCATCAAATGGCCAAGACGCGATAGTTGGGTGCAATACTTTGGGCGGCTGATGTATGAAATTCGCATGAAATTGACAAGAATCGCACCTTCGAGCATAATCTAAACATTCCTTCACCTGGTTGGCCAATAATACCCCATCCTCTTTATGTGAAAGTGGAGTTTCGATCCAGATTGATGTGATCCACACACTCTTGATTATGCTTCTTGCAGAGCTTGAATTGCTTCTTCCTCTCCCAAACACCGTAATAGTACACCCTCAAATGATCTTCTATATAATGTGTCCTTTTAGTAAAT